GGGGGGGGGGGGGGCAGAACTGGGAGTGGAGTAAACGGAATGGGATAGATGTGCATATCAATAAGCCACGTAGTTAACGGACCGAGGAGTCGGCATTAGTTAGCATAAACTCAGCAGTTTTGAGGATCTCCATTTGCAGTTGCAAGAACCAGATGCTTTTACTTTTAAATTAATTACTCCCGTGTGCTGCTCTGCGTAGCTTATTGACTGAACACAGCATTTATTCCTTGTCTGGGTTTTACCAAGTTACTTCTCAGGCTGGAACGGCGTTTTAAGTTGTGTGCAGCCACCCTACACGCTTCCTCGCCCAACTGCTCTGTGCCACTAGTTATAAGAGGCAGAGTGATCTCCTTTTTATTCCAGAGATTACATCTGAGCATCCAACAAAGATCATGCATCCGTGCCATCCCCCGGGGGGACCTACCTTGGGTTTCATATTTGAATACCTTCACGTTATTATAATATATTAAGCCATTATAATGAGTTCTGTTGTTTCAAATGTAAGTCCTGTTTGCTTTGTCAAGGATATGGGAATTAATATTTTTAGATGGGTGACTTTTGGGCTTCTTCCCTGTGGCTGTTTAATGTCTGGGGTCTAATTTCTGCGTAACCTGGCAACAGAACACACTTGAGCAGTTGGGAATTTCAGAAGCTGGGAGTCAGCGCCGTGAAGCCACTCTCCTCTCCATAGGGAATCCTCCTTCAGTTCTGGAAGCCACACGCTTTTATAGTTTTAAGATGCTTTTACTAACTTTTCCCCCCAAATACCCAGTCCCTTTCCCAGGCCGCCCCACCCTCTCGGCTCGGGGTACCCTCCGCTCAGGGTCTGCACAGCTCCCGCGTGGAGTTCAAGACACTGCTTTTGACAAGACAAACACTCCTAAACCTGCCTGTGAGAGCTCTCCTCACCCTTCCTCAGCTACAAAAGGTGAGCAGAGGTGTCCGGCCCCAGGAACCCACACAACCCCTCATGGGCTGCGGCTCTCGGGGCTTTGGGCTCCTCACCTTGCCCTTGGCCCGGGCAGGAAAAACTGCAGAACACGCTCACACACCAGCACTCACAGCACAGCAGCTCCTGTGAGCTCGGTGATGAGGCAGAATTAGCCCTGCAAGCTCTCTGCCTCGAAGACTGGTCGTTTTAACTGGATGCAGTCTGCAAGTGCATTTATGTTTAATTTTAATGGTTATTTTATGATGAGATGATCCCCGGAGTCTGGAAACTGTGGGCTTGGATTTACATTAATCTAAGTAACAACAATACAGTTTACAGACCCAAAAGGCTTGTTTCAGAGACTGAACGTATAGTTAGTGTTTCAGGTCTAACTCCCACTGTTCATTTATTCAAGAATTCATCCAGATCTACAAAAAAAGAGAGGTCCCAATCCGAGAATAACTGAAGAAAATGAGATTCTCTGTATTCTATTAGCAGAAAATATAGCAGGGTGTGCAATCCCAGTATATAAATTTAGTCTTGCACTATATCTGCGAAATTATCTGCAGGATAACGTATGTGGTACTCTGAACTACATTTGAAAGTTGACTCTGCTCAAGTTTTGCATTAAAACAACAACTGAGCTGGCCAAAGCTCATTCTGTGCTGGTTTTCCGTCATCCGGAGGTAAAAGGGTAACACTGAAGGAATAATAAAAAAAAGCTCTATGTCTTTTTCTCTTTCCTGCACGTGGTGGAGGTTCAGAGATGCCCGGTACCTTTGTAGTCATATATGTGTAGCATAAGTCAACAACAGTTCAGCAAAAAAGGATGGGCCATTAGATTTAACCCAATACTTGAGAGCAGTAAGGCACAACAGGACAGCACATTTCTCGCTGATTATAGCGAGGCTCAGGTGATAACACCAACAGCAACAGAAAGCAGGAGGCCCAGCTCGGGCATCCCAAAATGCTCTTCTTGGTCTTTCTTGCTGCTACCGCGGCACTGAGTGCGCTCGCGAAGAAAGGAATTGGTCAGTGCCGTAAAGAGAAAAGTGATTATGGCTCCGGGAATGGCTATTTGAGTTCGGAGCACTAAAACCTGCACTGCGATACTTCCTACCTAAAGTCTCTCCTGCGCCTCCCCCAGCGTGCGGACGCATCTTGGCAAGGGGATGCAGATGAATTTTGCCGACAGAAGAAAAACGTTTACTGTTATATATAGCAAAGATCGATTATATTGTTTTAGAGACTGCTTCAGGATAGGGTTGGAGTGCAATAGTTATGACTGCTCTGAAAACTCACGAAGGAAGACGAGCCGCTAATGCTCCTGGAGGGGAGCAGCTGGCCAGTGAGAAATGAGCTGACAGATGGCTTTCTGTGAAAAATGGTCATTAATATTCTCATGTCAACGCCCAGGTTTAATGGGATGTTCAAGCTGAGAAAACCCAGCACTTGGAAGCCAGGAAATTCCAGAAGCTAGAAGGTGCATACGGACAGTCACTTACAAGGGACAAAATCCACTTGCTTTTTTTTTGCACCAACAGAAACAAGCTCTTACATGAGCCAAGAGCTGCAAAACAAACTTCCTATGCAAAAATATCTACCCATTTAATGAGCTGATTTTTTTTTAAGGTAAAGGTGACTCTACAGAGATGCCTGTTATTACACGGCACTAACGACCTGAAATTGAAGCTGACCGTAAAGAAAACCAGAGCACACACACAGTCAGCTCTTGGTGTCTGAGTGGGGCGCTCCCCTGAACCCCTTCTGGAGGCTGCGATGGGCAGCAGCTCTGCTCATCCCTGCGGACAATAAACCCGTGGCCCAGACCATTATCAGTGCAACTGGGTGAAAATTTCTATGCCTTAAGGTTTGCTTGAAAATCTTGTTTGTGAAACCACCTTTCCACTCCCAAAACCCTCAGTGGGAAACCTATGAAGATGAATTAAGGGGGAAAAAAAAAATAATCCTTTTAGTAGACCTTTCAGTGCCTTTCTGGCTATTATACTTAAAAGCGGTAATTACCAAAGCACATTTAAATGTTAGACTCATTATTGTGATAATCACTATCACAGCCCGGCCGTGGACTGCCTGCTTCCACCTCATTTTTGAGCAGAAACTACGATTGCGAGGCAACTGAGAAACTCCCCCGAAAGCCAAGCAACATGGCTGTTGGTAGCCAACACCTCCGAGCACCCACTGTTTAAAGCTCGGCATTAATTTCAGGACAGCCCGCTGGATTTGTCACCACGGGGGACAAAGCCAGCCTGGCGGACTCCTCTCTCTTCCACCCTGGTCCCCACGGGCAGGCAGCATCCCCAGCAGCACGAGGGGGTCGGCGAGCACCGGCTACTTACTTCCTCTCTCCTTTGTACCACTCAAAGACCGGGGCAGGAACTCCTGCACCTTCGCACCGTATCAGTCCGTTCCCTCCAAGCACCACACCGCTGGATTTAAGTTCCTGAATTGTGGGGGCAACTGAAAAAAAAGAATTGTAAAATGGATATTTGCATCTAGATACGCAGATTGTTCAACGCCGCTTCTCCTCAGCACGCTTTACGTTACTCTCAGCCTGGCGCATGTTTTCCAGCTTGATTCACATTCTATCACGTTTTCTTCCAGCAGTGTAAAAATTATCCCACACAGCAGATTCTGATCTATATATTCTGTGTATCTGGTGTAAAAAAACACAACTGAGACATGAGGAGATATCAATCCCACACTGAAAAAAGCTGTTTTTCCAACGCAGTTACTCAACATAACGTGTAACTATAAGCATTAGCGTTGTACAAGATGTATTTAAAACCTGAGAATCAGAGAAAAACACACGAAGCTCCGACACCGGTGCTGGTCGAGAGGCTGCGGGGTCCTGCGGGGCTCGGCAGGGGGGACCCCCTCAGCTGGGGAGGGGTACGGCTGCACCCGGGGTGCAGGGTCCAAGGCGAAGATGGGGCCACCACCACTTATCTTCTGCATTGTGTCTTCTGCAAATGCCCCGTAAACCCCACAGGCTTAGGCGGCCTTTCAGATCTCATTTTGCATATTAAAAGAACAAACTTACCTTCACAATTATGAGCCAACTGTAAATACCACGTATCAACATGACTTTTCCAGTATTACATTGGATACGGATTTGTTTCAGTAAAAGCATTTTGTCTTTTTTTAAATAGCAACCATTGTAAACAGCAATCGGCGTTTTAAGCTTAGAACTACAGGTACAAATAAAGATAAAAAGTGATTGTCAGTTTTTCCCGTTGCCAGCGAAAGGCAACCGTAAGCTGAAAATAAAACACAACAGATTCCTCAGGAAAGAGATTATCAAAGGAAAGGCTGAACAACAATTGCCTTCTCCCTGGAATTCCTTTTACGTTTTCTGTTTTTAAACAATAATTTATGTGCATCGTAAAAACGCTATAAAAACCAAACCACAGAACTTATAAATAAAAATCTGGTTTTGTTGTTTTTTTTTTTTTTTTTTCCCCAAGCAGTTTTCCAGATGTTGTTTTAAGGTATTTATGTACATGTAAAATGCTGACTGCCTCTTGTCTGCTTCTTTCACCGTCTCCCCTATCGCTCAGCACGCCACGTTAAGAGACCGTAATCTTTTACGGGAACCAGCCGCGCTAACGAAGCCTCGGATAGAGGGAAGAGCAGAGTGACAGGCGGGTTCCCCGCACAGGCGGGTCAGCTCCATCGCACACCTCATCGCACACCCATCCTTCACCAGCACCACCTTTTCCAGGTGCGTAGGCCATCGCACGGGAACCCAGCCCTCCCAGCCCCGGGAACGCAAACGCGCACTCTGAGCACCTCGACACAAGTCTCAATGTTTAATGGCGCCGGGTGAGTGCATTTCAGGGGGGATCGAACAGACGACTGGTTCTGTCTCACCCATCTCGCAAGTCCTGCCCCGAGTCAGGCCGACAGACTATTGGTTTCCCACAGCCACCAAACATACCTTCTGCCCTCAACTTTCTCTCCACAACGATTGCATCAAACCAATCCATAAATTAACTTTCAACCAGTAACATTAAAATTTCAAGTGGATAATAAAGATATAACCAATTTGCATGACGACTCCCTAATCTGCATAGGAAAATAAAAAATTCAGATTTTTTTTTTGTTACTCCATAAAAATACCAGGCACGTATGAACTTACGCCTTCCTGAGAAATGAAGCGGTTTGTGCAGCCAAGACTTTTAGAAAAAATAACTTTGAGTGAGACTGATATCACGAAGAGCTGTGAACCGGCCACATTTTGCCTTTGCTCCTGCGGTACCGCGTGGCACCAGCACCTCCTCAAGCCCCACAGAGCTCAGAGCCCAGCTTGTGCTTCCGAAGCGTTCAAAAGCACAACAGCTACGAGCGACCAAGGTGAATCATACAAAAGCAAAACTTGTGCGAGATAAACCATACAGAAGCATCACCCGAACGATGGAAGAAATCGGAAGCCTGCTGCATGGGCACGCGATCCCTGGAGAGTGCCAAGAGCTGGAGTATGGGTGGGGGCAGGTCTACCTCTCACACAGGGTTTCCACCTCCCTGGGACTGCGGACTGCTCCCCAGCATTCCCACAATTTCCCTCAAGCCGTGACCACTGGGACAGAACCCCTAGGACATTTCTCCACCCTTAGTTCACCGGTGGCTGGTGTGTCCGAGGCTGGTCCAGACGCGTCGCTGAGCTCCTGGGGACCATCACCCTGAGCAAGTAGGTCCGGGGTCTCACGGCTGCCGGGCACTGACCCCAGACGCCCAGAGTGAAGAGAAACACCAGATGACTTGCCCGTTTACCTGTGTCTGTCTGACGTTGCGGTTCTGGATCGCTGGGGGACCTGGTCCACCCACCTGCCCACCCGGGCGGTCCCAGTGGACCCCTCCCACCTGGCATTTTGAAGCTCCGGGGAGACCCACAGCCAGCCTGGCTGGCAACGCACCGACACTTATTTATCCACGCAGGTGCTGTAGTTTTAAACTGCTGCTTATTTTGTTCCCGGTCATCTGAGAAATAAGACTAAATTTCTATTTGAAGAAAGCATTTAAAGACTTGTGCGCTCATTCTCTCAGTCCTCATTTATCCAAACCAACTCAGTCTAAAAGAAGCTCAGCTGATTCTCTCTCATTTCAGACATCACATCTTCCAAAAAACACACGTGAGTTTGTGGCGCCTGGAAGCCCTCCAGTTCCCCCCCACTTAGCCTGAGTGAGCGCGCCCAACGCGAGGTGCCGCACTCTGGGGAATATGCTGCCGGGTGGGATGGGAAGGTTGCTCCTCATGGGTTGCACGTGCTGCTTTCCTACCCGTGAGGACATCCTCCTTAACTCGGCGTTTCTGCCCCCATTTCCCATGGGATTCCCATGGCGTTAGCGCAGGTGCCCATTTTACATTTGTGCAACCCATGGGGGGATGCTGCCCCACGCTTCTCCTTTACCGATCACCTTTTATTTCTGTATCAGCTCTCCCGGGTGTTGAGGCAGCCTCCAGCCATGCCCGCTCCACGGGGCAGTCTCCCAGCAGGGCTGGGGATCCTGCCCTAGGGAGGGATGGAAATTTGCCGCACCTGGAATAAACTGGCAGGCCAAAGTGGATAGAATCTATTTTTGAGGACACCAGAGAGAAATTCTAGGAGAGATCCTCGAATAACGCCCTGGGTTGAACGCTGAGCAAGCTTTCATGAACTGCAAGTTGAGTTTAAGCTACCGACATCGCGTGTAGTTCCATCACCACCGAAAGACGCCGGGAAGATTTTCAGTGGCCGTGGGTTTTGCATTTCAGGCCCTGACAGACTCTGGTGACCACGGGTTTTGTCCTGTGCGAGACAAGAGCCGTGACCACCCCACGGGTTCCACGGGGTCTGCAAGCCCTTAAATAGCAGGAAGGTTACCCGGCCCCTTCTCCATGCCACCATGCAGCAGCTCCTTGGAGAGTTTTGTGGTACGCAGCAATTTTTTTTCTGTGTTATGAAAAGGGAGTGAAAAAATATATTATTTTTTTTTCTAATTCAGAGTGGGTGGGATTAATTACAAAAAACCCTGGGTTTGAAATTAATCTACCACACTGTGTGCACACTCCACTGACTATATTTAATTCTCATGAGCTAAGCAGAAAGAGCAAATAAAAGACCAGCAAAGGCCTGAGTCATGCAGAAAGTTTTTTTCCTAAGAAGTACCACCACCTTCATGCTCCTCGGCGTGGCCTCCTTACTTTTTGCATGGTGTTTTGTGGTTTTTTTTGTTTTTTTTTTTTTTCCTCCTTTGGTTTGGTTGTTTGTTTTTTAAATAAACGCAGAACAGCATTGGCAATAAATTTTAAAATTAAATGATCCATAAAACCATACAGCTTGCTGATGCTTTTTCAGGCAGGAGCCCCAGGCATCGCGCTCCTGGTGCAGCTGGGAAGGGGATGCCAGCTGGATCCCAGCTACAAATCACGATGCCGAGCTTTGCTGTCCAGCGAGGCAGAGCTTTGTCTGGAAAATACTGGAAAACTCTGAAAAGGAAGTTATCTTAGATCTCCCTTTCAGAAAGATTTCAGCTTCTGTTTGTTGAGAATAAAAATGAAAAATCAATATTCTATGCTCTAGGAAATCCCTGGTTAATACTGGTGTGAAAACACAAACCGAAGATAGATTAGAGCCACCAATCTCTTAGATTTTTCACTGTCAGGTTATTTTCTTGTTTTTAGTACAAAGCCAAACGGCGGGATGCAGGCACAATTCTGGCGTCCCGATTAGCGATGTGCTGAGCCAAAAACCCGTCAGGCCCTACCGCTCCCATTGGTGTGGAAGACTGAATAACTCCAGATGAAATTACACACCAAAATACCTGCTGCTCCCCTTGCCAAGGTTTGTTTTGGAAAGGCGAGAGACAAACACACGGGAAGAGATTCTCGGGCCCCCGCTTATTCCATTTTTTCCACAGACTCGTTTTTGAGAAGACATTCACGGTTTGATCTTATTCCTGTCAGTCCTGCTGCAGTTGTCGGCATTCTCATGCTGCCGGGCCTGCACGTGTTTTCTCCTGTGTAAAGGATTTTGAGGTTGTAACAATGGGAAGGAATATAATATCGATCTAAATACGTGTAATTTAGCAAGAGGAAAGCTCATATATTATGTTAACGAGTGCTCACAAGGTTCAGTTAAATTCTGCCTTCACCGTTATCCAGCATGAATTGTTTTTCTGGTGAACGGGATCAGCCAAACCACCCAGGAGAGGAGAGGATGGAGGATAACAACATCCCGCCTCCAGCCAGGGCTGACAGGCAGCTCCTTGGGAGAGGTTATAACAAACATACAGAAAATAACATGACTTTTCCTCCCGGGTAGCACCTCAAAAACTTAGAAAATCCCTGAAATGATGGTTTGCCTGCCTGTCCCTCCCTCTGTGACAGGGCTCTGCATTTCACAGCACTGACCACCCCTTCCCGATCACCTCCACGTTTTTTTTTTTTTTTTTTGTATTGGCAATAAACCTGTCGACCC